TATATATATATATATATATATATATATTAGTGAAACTAACAATGAAAAAGGAAAAATGAAACAAAGAAGACTTCTGTTTGACATGGAGCTTTTGAAAACATGTAACAATCATGAAAAAATGGTGCAAACTTTCTTTAAAAAGAGGTCATTAAAAAAAGGACCTCCTCCTTCCGTTTTCAAAAATTTCAAACGCTTAACTAACACTGCAAGTGTAAACTGTGTAAACAGATATGTAACTAGTCAATTTTGAAAATCACAATACTAGTAGTCATGCAGTTCAAATAGTTTAAAAATAAACAAATAAGAAACATACAACTGATTTTGTTTTTAATTAGCTTAAAGTATAAATAAGAGCCCTCTAAGTTGTATTGAGACCTTTAAGTTTAATTGTACTTAAAACTCAAAATTAAAGCCGTAAAGCGTTTGACGTGAGGCCTAGTACTAGTAGTTTATATATACTACACTTAGTTACAGTTTCACTATGTATATACGTTATAACTGGCAGTGAAACTGTGAAAATGAAATTCGAAATTACACAGTACAACTACAAGGTGAGTTTCTACATTGTAGTAGTAGTAGTAAACCAGATTTTGTACAACTTAAGTTAAAAACAACATAAAGACAAACTTAAAAAGTAAGTTACCTTTCAGTTTCATAACTATAATAGTATAAAGAAAAGACTAAAGCCTTAAAGTTTATGTATTCCAGTTTTTACCCTTTTAGAAATAAATCAATTGCCTACCGTAGCAGTTTTCATTCCCGTGTCTTCCTTATTTGAATTTATCCGTTGTGTCTAAAACTCCAGCTATCACAATCGATTTGGCAATAGCAAATATTCTACCTGGTGAAAGCGCATAGGCCTATGCTTGTTACAACGCGTGCGCATAACACATAGTATTTTGTTCGTATTGACAAGTTGAGTCGATGTTGTCACGACAAAAGCGTACCTGTTTCTTGAAGGCAATTAATGACCCTTTATCATCTGCACCGTAGTTTTATTACAGTCAAAACTCGGTTCCTTCTTGTTTCTCAGTTTAATGAATCAATTTTTCATCAAATGTAAACATAA